TTTTATAATAAATAGGGATGGCTGGGTATTTGAAGTTAGGAACAGATCTAAAATAAGATAATTGTACAATTACAGTGTATTCCAGAAGTCTGGATTTTAGCAAGGGATGCCTCAATTTAGGATTTATTAAAGTGGAAGTCTACCTAAAAATACTCTGGAGCTGCCATCCTCATTCTTCTTTCCCTACTTACTGAGTCACAAATCTAGGAAAAATATATTTATATTGAGTTTCAAAACACATGCTTGTGTTGAGTGAACAACTGACCCCAAGTGAAGTGAGCCGAACACTGTTCGGCTATTCACTTCAGGCTGGTACGGCTGATTTCAGCCATACATCGGCCGAAATCAGCCATACATCGGCTTGCTTCACATGGCCTCGGGTCGGCCGAACATGCTCAGCATGTTCGGCCGACCCGAAGTGCAGAAGGAGTTCGACTCAGCCGATCCAATATCTGGATCGGCTGAGCCGAACCTCCGGCAGGCTACTCACGGCTGTTCGGCCTATTCTTATAGATGCCGAAAAGCAGTGAGTGAATAGTTTAGAACCTCTGTCAGATTTTTATTGCTCGTAAAGCTGGCCATACACAAATCCAATTTCCTGTTGAATTGGCCAAAATTCAACATTGGTTGGCCCTTTCGGCAAGTATATGGCCAGCTCCGAAATTGAGTTCATTGCTCACTGTGAAGGTGATTTCATACTGTGGACCATAGTGACTTTGATAAATCAGCTCTCTAACATGAAGGGGCTTCAGATCCGCCATTATCAGGGCTGAAATTGCTGATTAAGTTGATCTTTTAGTGGTCCATAGGGTTTTTAATTAACTCATTTAATCTAAATCATGCTTTGTCAGCTGGTTATGAGCGGCCTTAGTTTTCCCATAACAAACTACTGAATAATGCTTCTGTATCAAATTAGCAAATTTATTTCAGAGCAATTTTAACCTTCTATATACTCCTAAACTTTTGTTATGATAGTCTTATTCTTACAGTTTCCAGATTTGTATTGCTGTTGTGTTCCTCTAGGGGAGATTTACCCTTACTTTCTATTCTGATGACATGCTGTCATAATGGCAGGAAGTTATAGGATATTTCTGTGTCGTTTTTCATGCGCTCTCTATCTTCTTGTACTGACATCTTTCCCACCACACAGCAATACAGTCTTGATAGATTTTCTAACACTTCCACACTAGTTTTGGCTAAAGTTCCGCTTTAACCCTTAGGCTGGTTAGGGAAAACGTTAACAATAACGCAGAGGGTCCACTGAGACTACTGAGTTGTAAAAAGGGAATCTTTCATTGAGATGATATGAGAAAAATGAACAGTTGTAAAAAAAAAATTATGTTTAACTATAAGGAATTTTCCGGATTTCTGGCTCCCAAAATGTGGTCTGATTTTGCTCTAAAGGCCCATAATGGTAATCTGTCTGGCTGATTAAGTTGGGGAAACAGCTGTATGCCTTTGGACATGCTATGATCTCTGGATGACTGAATGTGAAGACCAATTTTTTTGGACAATCAGAATTTATTCCCAACTATCACTGTTGTTTTTCAGCCCCAAGCCCAGTATTGCTGTGATAGCTGTTGTTTGGCTTTGCAGTGAAACTTTCTGTCACCGCTCACCACCATTATCCATCTATTCTAATGAAGAATTGACTAGAGGACACTTGACATAGAAGTGCAGAACCATGCTTGCAGTATTTTCTTCTTAACCACCCTTCAGCGGATTCTTCATGGGAATATATGGAGAATTAACTTTAAGAGTTGATGAAGGCTTTTTGGCTTCATTGCTGTGCATGGGTAGTCAGAAATGTTCCTGTCAGCATGACAGAAAGTTGTGAAGTTGCAACAGTCGGTAATCCTTTTCAGAGTACTGCTATAATGGCTGTAAGTAGACAGTAGTTCTTTAAAACTTTATTCTTACTTTTCTTTGTCTTTTAAACGAGTATATTGGACTTGATTAAGTTTTGATGCATTAAAAAAATTAATAGCAATAATATGAGCATGGAAACGTCCCAACTTACACACCTTCAAGAACTACACATGAGAAGCAAAGTTTATAGTCAGTCAATATATTATTGCCAAAAAATGTTAGAAAAATATACATTTTGAAAAGCTAGGCAGTAAAACATATATAAATAGTGTACGTCAGTAGCAGCAGGCTTCTGAAATAAAGGATTCAGTCTAGCCCAGGGTGAAAACAATTAACTTGGTAAATGGAGTGCATTGTGGTACATGAGACTGTTGATTTATGGAGAGCAGAGACGGATCTCTTCATAGCATTCTCATGTATAATTAAAAGTTCCAGACAACTGCCTTGCCAGAACAGTCCCACTAGGTTCTGTTGCTTTCCCCGCACCTGTGCATATGTGTTAGTGAATAGTGATGAGCCAAACAGGCCGAGTTCGGTTCAAATTTGAACTTTAGAACACCCAAAAAGTTAGAATTCGAACTCGAACTCAATGCAAGTCATTGGGGGTAGAAATGTTTAATAACGATTGTCCCCTTTAAGAGGGCTTATATGCAAGTTATTTGCCATACAAAATACTTGGGGGTCTGGGTACTGCCCTGGGGGACAGGAATCAATGAAAAAAAATATTTTTAAAGGAGCAGTGGTTTTAACATCACTTAAAGGGTAACAATAAAAATTCCTTCAAATATCGTGCCTGAGGGGTCCCCTTAACCTGCCTGTAAAGTGGCAAATCTGTGCGATGTATAGAACCTGCTGCAGCAAAACTGAAATTTCTAAAGAAATA